ATGCCGGTTTGACGTTGATTTGAGTGATGACAGTAGAGTTATACCTACTTCTATCTTTGGAGATCTAGCAGAAAATATTCTCACCTTCACTGGCCTTGAAGCAATGGATCACTTTAATCAGGTTATTTTAATTGATCAAATTTAATGATAAGTGTAGTATTTCCATGTCGCCTTATATATTCTGTCCTTCTTCCAGAATCTTGAGCTACCACTCGAGTTTGTTCATATGCAGCTTAAAACAAAAACATTTCTGGTTCACATTAAACCAGTCCAAACGCAGCTCGTTGATGCCAGACAGCGTTATACCATTTTATATTGCTCTGAAGCTGAACCAAAATTCGGTTGTCCTCAGTTAACACATGAACCAGAATCTGTCTCTCTTTCGATTGACCAGCAGACAGAAAATGAGCAGCTACTGACAGCAGGTTGATAAATATACCTAGAGTTGTGATACATAACTATATTTTCTCTCAATCAACTATTAGCTTAACTAAGCATTGCGCTTACAGGACATGGTGGTTCTAGCTCAAAAGTGTGCCTTCGACTCAGCCAAAAGTTTGACGAAGCAGAAACTCTCGACAGCAATGACTTTGACAGTCCAGATGCTGACTCCAAGAAGAAAGCAAAATTAGGCTGAATTGCCTTCACTACCTTTTGGATTGCTTAGACACTAATATTTTTTTGGTTCTGTCATCTGCACTTCTATGCTTAGGCAGATTGTTAGTGGCTTTTGGAAATACTACTCATCCATTCACAATTCCCTGGCTTTTGTACGTGGTTATCTACTAAATAGCTTTTGTCATGACCATTGAACTTTGATAATAGCACCTGTATCAAAGTTCTTGTCCGGCTTTCAAAGACTAATTGAAATCCTCCATCTAAGGAAGCATAAGGATTTTTACAGATATCTTTGGATACCTGACGATGAACTCCCTTTCTGTGGAACTGACAGCTACAATTGCTGCTATCACTTTCGAACATCCAGTTTTGTATGTATACTTATTCATTTATTACACAAGGCTGCATTTTTTCAAGTCAAACTTATATATTCACTTCCTGCTACTTACATGTTAGACTATCTGCTCCACTTAACATACCAAGTACACGTTAAATTATAATTTTGCTTTCAAACCATTAAAGCATTGCAGATGCATTACTTTACATGCTGTCAATTGACAGCTCACACTTAATGTTTACCATTCAATTGTCTTTTCTATTCATTGTTCCTTACCTTCCTCTACTGCAACTAATAAATCTTTTCAATGGCGGTAGGAAAAATCTTGCACTTAGCATTAAAACCAATAAAAAATGTACTCTTTTTACATTCATCTTTTCTTTATATATATGCTCTTTATCTTTTACAAGATCATACATAGAAAACTGTCCACCATACAACTGCATCATACAATTTCTGCATAAGAACTTGTTAATAGGTAAGTTGCTCTGCGATCTATTTCTAGCACTCATAAGATAATACATTGTGACAGCCCCACCTTCCCCTAAGGCGAACCAAAGAGGTTAGCGGACTGCCTGCCCAACTCTCGCCAGGACTAACGGTGCAGTATAAAGCGATCTATCACGTTTTGAAACTTATAACGCGCGCAACAAGGCAAAAGGGCAAAATATCCCAAAATAAAAGAAACGAACTCCAGAGTCGGCCATGAATAGTAACCGACCCGTCCGAAACCCATCCAAGCATCGAAATACATATACAACATAAAATTAACCATTTACAAGCCACAACGGCAAGCCAAAAGCATTCGCTAAGGAAGTACACATTCGAATTGCCTATCAAAAGGAAATGAACCCGTTATACATTAGGGTTTCACTTCAAGAGCAATACAAAAGACATTTACATGCTCAATTCGGCAATTGACTATCCAATCCATTCTCAAAAGTAATTATAACCCTGTAAGGAAAACAAATAACACGGAATGAGCTAAAGCCCAGTGGTATACCACCCAATAAGCAATCAAAGTCATATAAGAATGAACTTTCATTTAAAGTGCACAAATAAGCAATGAAGCAAAACGGTAAAAGGATATGGTCGGCTCTCAAGAGCCCATTTCCACGCTTGCAATCTTGATCCAACCTCATTGACTCTCCGTCAATGTTAAAAGTACCAAACCGTAGACCACCCTTTACTTCCAATCCTTCCACCTAACATACCCCAACCGGGCCCGCACTTCATTTCAGTAGTTTTGGTAATACTCGAGTTTACCGGAACCAAGGGTCTCATTACCACAAGGTTCCCCAGTACAGTCCCCGTGGCAATTCAATCTTCACGACCAAGCCCTCGCCGGCTCGATCCAATTGACTACCAAACGGGGTTGAGTTCAGTAATACAGTAAGGCCGTTGGACATCGTCCAAACGACATCAATTCAGTTTCCATGAAATGGAATTCACCAACCAATATATCAAGTTCAGTAATGCAATAAAACGGTAACCAATCAGTGACAATATCAAAAGAGGTGAGGGCGGTCAAGTACACCCTCACCTTAATCAATTTCAATATCCAAGTAAGCCATCAAGGCATCACATAACATTTAACAAAGCCACATAGTAACAATTTAGTGAGTGGTATACTCACCAAGTGAGAAAGTGGTGTTTCATACACCGTGGTCACCAAGACGTCGTGAACTACCGTCACGCCCTAGAATCACGCAACAAATGCAATGAGACTCGATAACGAGTCATATAGCAATGCTAAACACAACCCCAATAGGGTTTCATATGCATAAATGTGCATAATAGCAAACCAGAAATTAGAAAATGGCCTTAGTCTTGGCCCCCAAATAGAAAACTGTTTTACACTTATAATGCGGTAATGGCGTCAATTTCACTACGGTTATCGGATGGGGGTGTAAGACCCACCGTTTCGAAGCTAAGAAACAGGGATACAACATTGTAGAAGGTCTCTCAGTCCAGTTCCTAACATAACTAGATCAAAAATGCCAAACACTAAACCAGAATCACCAAAACAGGTTTGCAAAACGCAGAAAACTGTAATCGATATATCTCAGTCCATACAAGTCCAAATGCCGAAATTCCAAAGGCATATGATAGCTAAGACACTCAGCTACATTTCATCAAAAGACACCAACTTCAAAATCCAAACCAATTCCAGTCAAAATGGCCAATTACAACCGCAGTTTTAGTAGTCTGACCAAAGCAGAACAGCTACAGTAATTTCGTCATAACTCACTCTACACTAATCCAAATGCCCTGAAATTTTACAGGCACCTCAAACACATCAATACCTACAACTTTCATGTTTTGATCAAAGTCTAATTCGGCCTCTAACCCAGTGATCTAAAACCAGACAGAATTGGGATTTTAAGAACCCTAACTTTTCAAATTTCCAACCAAATCCAAAATTGATTGCATTTGCCTATCCAATACACCTCATAGAGTCATTATCAACCATTACCATTCATCATACAAGGCCACAACATTCATTTCATATTAAATCAGAAAAATTCCCAATAAAATAAAAACTTCACCAAAACTCTTCAAATCAAGAAATAAATCATATAATCCTTCACTCATGCCACCATTAAGCATAATATAACCATCATTAGGTATAGGGGAGAGGTTGAAGCATCACTTACCAAGAAACAAGGGAAAGAGAGATTGGGAACACCTTTGCTCTTCAAAACAACTTCACTACAACCCTTACTAGCACTAGAAGGTAGGAGTTTATGGAGTGGAATCTTGTTTATTTGGTTGATTTAGATGATTTGCTAGTAGAAAGCTTGAAGATTGAAGAGTTCTTCTTCTTGCAAGAGAGTGAGAGAGAGCCAGCCAAGGAGAAAGAAAAATGAGGAAATTTTGTGCAATTTTTAGATATTTAACCTTTGGTCAAAAAAGTCAAAATTGTGAATAGTAATTCTTAAAAGGCATCCAATAAGAAGGTGACACTTGTCACCTTCATAAATGCATTCTTATCTTTCTTTTCTCTCTCACATCAATCACTTCACACACACTACTTATCTCTTAACACCCGATAAATTTTACACAGTATCCGAAACTTAACCTTATTGGCCGAATTTTTCCGAACTTTTCGCACTAGTGGGTCCCACGTCCACTATTTACTCTTAATTTTCTAAAATTTCTCCAATGCTAGAAAAATCATCTTAAAACTATAATTGCTCATAAAATCCACTAAGAAAATATTTCTAAGCCAGAAAATGCAGAAAACATGCAATTAAGGGGAAATAAACCCTAGGAAAATAATTAGGGTTTTACGGGTTCTCACATACAGGCTTGTGCTTGCAATTTCTGTTAACAAGCCGCTTTTCTGGTTTTTCGATTCTACAGCTTTCTTTTTGATAGATCAATGGTAGAAACAATGTCTGTATCTCCGACGAATTTTCCTTTTACAAATAGCTGTTTACCAGCTTGTTGTTTTCTACTCAAATGCATCCACAGAGGACAAGTTAACTTTTAATTCGTGTTCACTTATATTGCAGCATTTACAGTTGAATAGCTTGGTATTGTTTGACGTTGTTTTCCTGCCTCATTTTTTCAAGGTATTACCTGGTCAGTTTGAATTGTTACTTCATCAGCATCATTGCAATAGAATCGTTCTAAGGTTTGGACTGCGGCAATGGACTATCGCAGTTACTGATCACTCATTCCAAGAAGGATGGGATGCTTTTTGTGAACACAACATTGTTAAAAGACATGACACGTTGTTACTTCGACATAGCGGAAATCTAATATTTGATGTCATTCACTTTTGTGAACTGCAAAAACAAGTTTTATTGCCCTAGACAATTCCCCTACCAGACCTTTTGCACATGAATGTCATTGCATCACGAGGTCAAAATATCACTATATTTATCTCATATCCTCATCCATATCATATATAATTTTTAATTTATCACATAATTACTGATTGCAGATGATATCCATACACCTACTAGACAGCAGCAAGTTGCTTCCTCACCGAGGCCAAATTTCTGTCAAGATCTATCTGATTTGATTTGCTTTTATAAAAAATTTAGCTCTGCAACTCCAAACAGTTTGGTAAGCTATTCCATGTTTACCCTCATTTTCTTTGTCATCTAAACTTTTTTTGAATCAATTTCCTTTTCTTTCTGCATATCTTCTGATATACACCTCTTCATGACAGAAAATTCCACGCTTTATTGATCACTTCATCAATGGTACCAAGACTCCCATGTTGCTTATCAATACTGGAAACAAAAATGCTCAGATAGGTGTAAAACATAAACGCTTTCACCAAAACTGGAGAGATTTCATTCTTGAGCATCGACTGCAACACAACGAAACTCTTGTTTTTGTTCCGGAATATGAAAATATATTTACAGTTTTAGTTTTCGACGATACTGGAGTTGAAAAGATTTTTCCTTGGTATCACACATTCAATATTTATTCAAATGCCTAATGAATTTAGCTGGACTATGCTGTGTAATCTACCTATGAATTAAATACATTACTGGTAATTTTGGCTTCTTCTTAGCTAAACTATACAGCCACTAGCTGACGATCCTTGATACATTACTTCTTGTTTCAATTAATTAATATTATAAAATTAATTACTCAACTAGGCATTACTGGGCATCATTACATTCACACACCGCGCATCGTGCGGTGATACCCTCCTAGTTCAACTTAAAAAGATGATGTCCAAATCCCTTAAATTAGTTGGTGGTCGTCCTCCTGCATGCTCAAGTCACGTGCACTGTGGATTGGAAGTTGCTTTTTTGAACAGAGTGGTTCTTTCCGTTTTCTTCTTTCTTCTTTTTATTCTTCTTGTTGTGTTATATTATATTTATTGTGGTGCTGGATTTCTCTTTTTCCCCCTATTCCCCCCAAACTCTGCTGCTATTTAATTGCTTGCCATGTTATTATTTTTGCATTATGTGTATTACTGTTATTATTAGTACTGTATTATTTGTATTAGAATGTATAATTTTGTGGTGTTGCTACATTTCTTATATTGGTTTGGTTCTCTTTTTTTCCCCGGTTTCTTTTTTCCTTTTTTTCCCCCAAATTCTCTTGCTATTAAATTGCTTGCCATATTATTATTAATTTATTATTATTATTATTAGAATATTAAGTTGCACCATTGTGTTGTTTTCTCCTTTTTTCCGGAATAATAAGTTGCCAAAATAATTACACTTGCAAAAATTCTTTATGAATTGTGGTGCTTTTGAGAGGTCTTTGCTGAATCGTTGGATTTAATAAAGGATCTTTTATGTATGAATGAATAATGGAATTTGCGTGTGTTATGAGTTAAATACGTGTAATCGGCTGACCATGTCCTAGTTTAGTAGCTAAAGATAAGGATGTAGAAATTAGGTATCCTAACTTTAAATCTCATGTTGACTTTTTTTTACCGACAATATTTTTTCTCAAGGTTATTGTTTTTTATAATATTTTTGTTATTATAATAGAATATGCAATTGTGCTATTATGTAGTTTATTCCTTTTTCTCGATTAATAGTTTTCCAAAGAAATTGCGCCTGCCAAAATTCTTTATTATTACGTGGTACTTTTCCTTTTTGGATAGAATGCTTCCTTCCGTTTTGGTCTTTTTTGTTCTTTATATATTATATTATATTTGTGGTGGTGCCGCATTTCTTACCGGTTTTGCTCTTTTTTCCCCTTCTTGTTCCTTTTTTTTCTCCCAAAAACTTTGTTGCGGTTAAATTGCTTACCATATTGTTACTTTATTATTATATTAATATTATTATATTATGATTATTACTGTTATCTACCTTTCACAGGTAGTAATAATTGTTGCACCGCAACTAGAATTCTTATCGTCTTTTTTTATGTAAATGTATAAATGATGATATAATTGTGGTGCAACTGGAATGCTTATTGCTTTTGAAATGTTTTCTATTTTTTTTGTATGAATTATGATATTCGCTTGTATCTTACAAATTGGATATGGATAGGATCCTATTTTTTCCCTTGCTAGATGGGGTTGTTATTTTTCCTTTTCTTTTATACCTTTTCCTATTTTTTTATAAACAATTGATATCTTTTTCTATTTTTTTTGCGGGGGTTTTACTCTTTCTTTTTTTATTTGAATTCTATTGCTTATGTAATAAAAATTGTAAAAGATGTCCTTTTTAGTGATAAATGTTTTGTGCACGTTTATTCTTTTGTTGTGTGATAAAATGTACAATTGTACCACTATATTTTTTACTGTTATTTTTAATAATAGATTAAGAAAAAAATTCATCCTGAATTTTTTACTACTTGTTTTACCGTGTCTTTGTCGTGATTATATGTTTAAATTGTAATTTTTATGAGCTTTTTTTATAATAAAATATATAATTGTATTACTTAGTTGTTTTCTTTCTATTTTTAATAATAAGTTAGAGAAAAAACTATTCACAAATTTGTTTACCCACTTTGCAATAAGTTTGTATTAAATTTTGTGTCCAGAGTTTCATTAAGGTCTTCTCTTTTTTGAATTAAGGAAAAGAAATATGTTTGAGATATGATTGTAGTGCGGTTGCAATCCTTATTATTAATTTTATTAAGAGGCCTTTCATGTACAAATAAATGATGAAATTCACCTATGTCATAAATTACATAGAAGTGCAACCAGCCTCAGAGGCCTTGGTTCAATAGTTAAGATTTAGGTTTTAGGAATTAGAGGTTCTAAGTATAAATCTTCTTGTCCCTTATTTGTCTCTTAAGTTCCACTTGTCCTTTGCCCAAAAAAAAAATTGAAAAAAAAATAGATACAGGTGTCATCTATTTCATTTTTAACCTCTTGAATGGAGTTGTTTTATTTTTTAAAACAATTCATGTCTTTTTCTCTTTTTTTTTTTGCGTGGGTTTATTCTCCTTTGCTATTTGAACTCTATTTCTATGATTCTAATGCACAATAATAATCATAGAAAATTTTTTAACCGGCAATATTTTTTTATGACTTTGCCGTCTTTTTATAATAAAATATACAATTGTGTTACTATGTTGTGTTGTTCTCTTTTTTGTCCAAATAATACATTAGAAAAAAAAATATCCCTACCAAAAATATCTATAAATAGTATTAGTTTTTAGAGGTCTTTTATGTATTACTTTTAAGAGGCCTTTCATGTACAAATAAATGATGGAATTTGCGTGTGTCATAAATTAGATCTAGGTGCAATCTGCTAAGGAGATTTTAATTTAGTAGTTAAAGTTGAGACTCAAAAAATTAAAAATTTTAGATTCAAATCCCCCGACAATACTTTTTTTTTTAAGTTTACCGTCTTTTTTTTTATAATAACATATCTATATTTTTATATCTACTAGATGAAGAAATGTCCTCTTTCACCATAGCAACCCTTATTGTTTGACATGTGGCAGCTGGAACGGAGAGATTTTCCTCCAGCAGGGTCACTCGACATTCGTGCCATCAAATGACTTCAAGATCAATTCTTTGTTAGGCTCTAAACTTTTAACAAAGGAGCCCAACCACTTGTTGCAAGAAAAATCAAACGAGTCAGAGGATGCTTCTGATAGTCATAGCCATGCATCTCCTCCAAATTCTTTCTTTCTCCAACTTTTAGTGTACTTCCGGTCTATTTAATTTCAAATTTGATATGTTTGTCCCTAATATCAGCCACTTTTGTGCTATTTATTGACCGTGATTCAATATTTTTCTAATGAATCTCTCCCAACCTTTGCATTTTTAGCCTGTATACCTTCTCGTTGTCTTGGACGTTGGATTACACCTAATTCTCAGATTTTCAGCAATATAATTTCTGTCCTTTTTCCTCAAAATTTGCAACCCTTTCTCTCATTTCTCTTTACCGGGGACTCTTGACACTCGCTGCTTCCCCTTTTTCATTTGTTTTCTATCAAAGCTATCCTTTACATTTGATTTCTCTTTTTTTACTTACTTTATTTTTGGAATTTTATTTTATGGTTTGGTAGGAAACTAGGATTTCATACGAAAGCACCCTTTGCGTTGGTGTTTACAGGCATTAGAAATCACAGGACATCTTATCTTCACTCTTCTTTGGATTTTGATGATATAGATGTCCTATTAGTTCATATTTCAGGCTTTGAGCTAATATCTAAGAGGCCATATTTTGGCGAAGTATCCCTGATGGAGTTGTGGATGACCTCTCCCTAAATTGCAACCTTGTATGTAGCCATAGCGTTGCTATTATCTCCTTGCTGATTTCATGGGAAATCTGATGCTAATTTTAATTGGGAAATCCACTACTTCAGTGATGTCAATTTAAATAATTTTTTATTGTGTTGTGATACCAATTTAAATTCTTATTTGTGAATTTGATTATTGACAGGTTTTCTTGCCATGTAAATACCTACACAGCAGTACTCTAACACAATAGCTAGGTACTTCTTGTATGTTTCGATATTCAGCAAGTCTTATTTTTTGTGCATTTTTTATTTAGTGTTAGAATTTTCTGGGATTAAAGTCTTCCAAACAAGCTTGGGTTTCATTCAGATATATACTTATAGTTGTTAGCATGAACTGTTTCTAATGTGGTAAACTTAATGTCATGAAAGGACTGTGCATTTCTAAACTTAATGTCTTGGAAGGACTGTGCATTTTCAAAAGTATTCGTACTTTGAAGGAGGGGCTGCTACATGAGGTTATGATTTCTAAAACTCCTGATGATTAGTTTTTCATCCTACAAAAGTCATGCTTTGGAATTATTTTAAATTACTTTGCAGGATGAAGGATTACAGATTAAACCTTTGACCTCTTTGTGAACAATTATTAGACAGAGGAAATAAAGTTATTTATTTTGATCTATTTCTCCTTCTATATTTTGGGTTTTTATCCTATGCAAGTTCCTATATTTTTTTCCCTCTTTTGGTCAGAATCTCAATGGTAGTTCTTGATAAACTTTACATAGTACTTGCAGCAAAAATTTTGTTTAGGTAATTATACATGTGTGTGTGTGTTCTTTTGTTTTCTGTAAAATGGCAGCCAAGTGTGAAATTTTGAATAAGTAAGAGTGTGCGAGTCTGTCCGTTTTTCCCCCTTAAAAAATGGCAGCTGCATGTGTTTGTGTGCCTTTTTGCTTCTCTAAAAATGGTAGCTAAATTTGAATATGTGTCTGGTTTATTGGGAAAAGTTAAATGTAGCATTGACTGAATAAGTTGATATTGGTTTCTTAATAGGAATGCCAATGGCTTAATTCTTCTCGTTGCATTATTTGTAGGGAATGTTGGACGCTAAGGAGGTTTTTTCCCTCTCTAATTTGGATTTAGTCCCAGGGGAATATGAAGGTTGCATATCTTTTTGTTTTTGTGGTTTTACTATCTCCCTAACCAATGAAAGATATATTTAAAGCAATCAGTTTTTATGGGGTGCAAAGCAAGATGCTTGCATTTTTTATCGACACACATGTTCATGGGATTTTAATATTTTTGTTTCTGGAGTCCTGTAACTGATCTGTGTTATTGTTTTTGAAGGATTGAAATTATTGAAGGTTTCAGTGGATTT